TTTTTTTTTTTTTTTTATTCCTTTGCTCATCAGCTTACTGTTGTAATTCGAATAGGGAAAGAGAGAGAAAGAGAGAAAAAGGGAGATAGTTCCGTTATGCCCTCGAGGCAAAAATAAGACCAAGACATGGGAATAGACAGCAAAGGTGTCCTGTTATGGGTATCTTTTCGTTCTGTTTTTCATTCCCTTTGATGTTTTTTTTTCTTTTGCTTACATGTTCCTTTCTCTTCAGTGAGAGGAAGGACGTGTCACGGAGAAACACTGACATTTCGCTGGTGACTGTTAGATTCATTTGTGCAAGATTGGCCAGCTCTTTGGTGCACGCAGAAACCCCCATTGAGTGTCTTTTCTTGAACAAGTGTGCTCATCTGTTATCTCAGCAATAATAATATATAATGATATATATATATATATATATATATGAATTCTCCGGATATATGATGTTTATTGCAATTGGGCAAAATCAGATACCAAGGAAAAAAGAATGAAAATGTTTCGACTTCTATGATAGTACGTAATATGCGTTTTCATAACTCCCTTTTCTCACCCTTGTTTTCCTTTTTTTTTGGTTAAGAATTCAGAGCGTGAAGCAAACAAACACACAGAAAAAAGAAACGGCTTTCCTCGTGAAGAAAGAAATGAATACAGAAGAATCTTTCCCTGGCAATGTCAACAGCCCTATAGATGGTAGTTTTGTTGCAGGAGAACACACAGCCCTACCTTCCTTGCCAGTGGGTGACAGCAGTGACAACAGCGACACCAGTCCCAAGAAAGCCATCAGTGGCAAGAGCCTTCGGAAATTTGTTGGGTCCATCATTCCGTACGGTGGTCTCCTTTCGACAACATTCAACCTTGCGAGTGCGACACTCGGGGGCGGTGTGATTAGTCTGCCTGCGGCCTTTCAGATGAGTGGTGTTGTGATGTCCATCATCCTGCTTGTCCTGGTGACGGCGTGCACAGTGTACTCTGTTGGTTTGATGATGGAGGCAGTTGAATTGACCGGCTACAACTCATACGCTGATCTTTCGAGGAACCTTTTCGGTCGGGGATGGGACTACTTCACGGTTTTCCTCACGTGGCTGTTCACCTTCGGTACCTGTGTTGGCTACGTCATTGCCATTGGCCATCTTCTGGAGCCTGTGCTGGACGACCCGTCTGTACCAGAGTTTCTCCGCACCAAGTCTGGAAATCGCTTGATGACGAGCTTGATATGGCTTGTGGGTATGTTCTCCTTATCACTGCCTAAGGAGATCAACTCTCTGCGCTATGCCTCCGCTATTGGAGTGATCTGCATCTGCTATTTCATCCTCTGTATTGTGATACACTCCGTTCAGCATGGCTTTAAGGGCGGGAGGCTCCGTGATGATGTCGCCATGTTTAAGTCAGGGAACAGCGCGATTGAAGGACTTTCCATATTCATGTTCTCGTACCTGTGTCACATGAACTGTTTCTCTATCTACGGCGAGATGCGCCATCCCAGCGCAAAGCGCATGACTCTTCACACGGCTTGCAGCATGACTATTTGTTGTATTGCGTTTGTGATGGCTGGCTTTTTTGGCTATGCCGATTTTGGAGCCGAGGTAACGGACACCATTCTTGTGTTCTATAACGTGCGAAGTGATGTTAAGATGGCCATTGCCTATGTGGGAATCGTATTGAAACTGTGTGTTGGCTTCTCGTTGTGTATGCAACCTGCACGAGACTGCTGCTACTACGTCCTTGGATGGGACCTGGTTACACTTCCAAGGTGGAAGAATTGCCTCTTCTGTGGCACAATGGCTCTATGCGCTCTGCTCCTTGGACTCTTTATTCCTGTATTAAACACTGTGTTCGGGTTACTTGGGAGTTTTTGTGGGGGTCTCCTCGGGTTTTCTTTGCCCGCTCTTTACCGCATGTACTGTGGGAACTGGGGGCTGACACAGGTGGGGGTGGTGAATTATGTGTGCACATATATCCTCCTCATTGCCGGGGTCGTTGCAGTTGTGTTTGGTACAGGAGCATCTATTTACGGAGTGTTTTAGAACGAAAAAAAAAAAAAACGTATTTTTCTTTACGAATATATGTTTTTATGCTTTGTTTGTTTCTTTCTTTTCTGGAAATCGTTTTGTCGTGTTGAACGTGTTTAGTGTGACCCACGCTGAAACCGTTTTTCCGAGAAGTTTTTTATAAGGGAGAAAATTTTTTGTGTTTTTTGTTTTATATTTGTTCACTCTTTTTGTGTCTTGAAATACTTTAAAATATTTCTCTTAGTAGTTTAAGGTGGTTTATGGAGGTTTTAATTTTGTTATTGTTTTTTTTTTTTAGTAGAGGTAAGGTTTGTTTGGCGAAAGAAAAGAGTTCTGTTTGTGTCGTTATTATTATTATTATTATTATTATTATTATTAT